TTTTCTTCAATTAATCTCATTTTTTATAAATTTAAATCAATAGAAAAATCGCTTTCAGGTCCCACACAAGCAATATAAATTATTTTTTAATATTTCACACATCTTAAAACATATCATTACATTATTAAATTTGTAAAAAATCATCTCAAAATTTTAATTCTACCCTTATAAATGGAAACCATGTAAAATATGTCCCTTGCAATTTACGAGTCTACCCATTATAACTCTTAGAGCAAAAAAAGGATATCATTAGATACTTTTGAACAATAATATCTTATACTAGTATTTTTCACTGTGAATATTTTTTTTTAATAGAAAACATGTTACAATAAGAAGGTTGTAGGATGGAAATAAGCTGGGCTTGGCCTTGCTTAAATAGGCTGAGCCTATTATAAGCTTAACTGAACCTCAAGCCTTTTATATTGTTATTAAGCAAGCTTTAAAAAAAAAAACCCAAGAATTAGGTTTAAAAAGCCTTCACTATATTTTTGAATCTAATTAAATTATCAACAAGGCTCAATTATTCAATTAAAAGAATATAAATTAAAAAAAATAATATAAATTAAATGTATTTATATATAAATAAAGTATAACACACACACATAATTAATAAAAAAAAGCCTAAATAACCTCTAGGCTTATAAGCAGGTCTTAGAAAACAGGATTAAAGCTGCTTTAAAAATATGTTCAGTAAATAGAATTAATTAAATAAGTCAGATCAGATCTCAAATAGGCTATGGCCTCTTTCTACTCTAGAGAGGTATATACATAAACAAATTATTAAAAACGAAAAATATTTACGGTACTATTTATGAATGGAATGACAGTAATATGTTGAAATGAACAAACTTAGCCGACCTCTTGTCTTATGACTGATGTTGACTTAAACCAACTTTGAAGTTGAAACTTAAGCACTGACTTTTCATTTCAATAATTAGACCTTTGATTAAGGTCAAGTGGAGGAAGTAATGGCATGATATGGCTGCATCACTTTACATGCACACTTTGGCTTTAATCATTGGTTATTTAGGATATTTTATTTTGAGAAAATAGACCATTTTAGCATATTTTATAAGTTTAAGAAAGAGTAAAGTTCTGAAATTTCATTGCACTTCATGAATTCTCACTTAAAATTAATTTTTAATGAAATGATAAAATTATGTTTAAAGTTTAAAGATTTTTTAAAAAAAAGTCACCTTCACCATATCATAAAGCTTTAGTGAAATAGTAACACTTTTATTAAAGGATAATTGACAAAGGTGGTTAAAGAAAGAGAGATTTAATTTCATAACTCCTTGATCATTGAAAAAGATTAGTGGCCACCAAACCATCAAATTTGATTAATTATATATAGATAAAAAAATACAGTAACTCAAGCTTTTAAACCACCTCTCAATTATAACATAAATGTATATTGATGGCACATTTATTTTATTAATATTAATTATTAATTTTTGATATAGTTAATTATAAAATGAGAGTTTTAAAATTTTATATATTTTACTTATTAAAATTTTAAATATATTATTATAATTATGAATGAATATTATCAAAACTCGTATTGATATTTATAAAGGAATGATTAAGTTTATCCTAGCAGCATTTTAATCAAAGACAATTATATAATACACACACCTGTAACGGCGTGAGTGTGCATATATTAAATCTGGCCTATGCACGCGCCCACCCCAAGCGGCCAGCGGCAAGCCCCCAGGTCAAAATTTGCGGCGCTTTTTTCAACTTCGCATGACGCCGCAGTAGGGGTGAGCAAAAACCGAACCGAAACCGAAAATCGAACCGAATCGAATCGAATTTTATCTATTTGATTCGGTCTCTTTGATTTTTCGGTTCGATTCGGTTTTTTTTTTTTAAATATTTCGGTTGATCAGTTCGATTCGGTAGTAAAATTAAAATCGAATAGACGAACCGACCGAATTATATATAATTTATTAATTTATAAATTATATTTAATTTATAAAATTATTTTATTTTATTTTTATTTATTTTAATAAAGAATAAAAATAATAACATCACTGAACCCCATTTCAATCAGTCACTCTCATCAGTAGGTATTGTGACTGAATTATGAGGCTATTATTTGATCATCGGTGTTTATTTATGGTTGTTTATGATATTCATGTCTTATAAATATTTGGGCTTTATGTCATATGAGTATAATTAGAATGGGCTCATATTGAAAAAAAACGAAAAGAAAAAAAGGCCCAATTTTATAGTGTTGTTTGTTTTAATATTTAAAAAATTAAGCCAAACCGAAAAACCGAATTAACCGACCGAACCGAATTATCAAATTTCGGTTCGGTCCTTGTTCGTTTCGATTGGCTTGTTCGGTTCGATTCGGTTTTCATTTTCAGTGTTATTCGATCGATCGGTTCTGCATATTTTGAGACCGAACCGAACCGAACCGACCGATGCTCACCCCTCCGCCGCGTCTTCGACTGACTTCTCATTTCCTCTTTGCAAGGGAAGAGAGCGGATAAAAATTTCTGATCCATAGTTGTTAAAAGGTCGAGCAGTATTGACTGTTGACCAATCAGATAAAGTAAAAAAACTAGAACACCAAAAAAAAAAAAAACCTCCTTCAATCGTATCATACTCTCTACAGTTTTTATTATATGGCATATCAGTTTTTAGTATATGGCATATTTTAAAAGAGATTGATAATTTTTTTTTTTGTATAAGACACTTAATGAAGTATTAATATAATTTTTTTTGATATACTCTATATGAACTCATTAAATGTACGAGAGAATATATAGAGGTTGAAATCAACAGTAGCTAGTGATGAGTAGTGAAGAAGAAGAAGCAGAAGAAGAAGAGGAGAGGGACAGGAGAAGAATACTAGCTCGTTTAAGTAAGGATCTTCATGATTCTCCATAGTCAACTTCTGCATACTATTAGAAGATTAAAAACTCATTTTTTTTGTACTTTTTTTTTGAAGAATGCTCAACCCCATGTATTGGTAAGTAAGGCATCTTTCAACTCCAAAATCATTGTTGATGAGCAAAAAATTCTTTTCATGGGTGACTCGTTAAATCAATCATTTTTTTTTTATTAATATGGCATGTGTGTGAGACCTACACGTAATAATAAGTATGACTCTACCACTTATTGACCATTTTTATGTTAATATTCTTGAACTTTTATTAAAATAAATTTAATATTATTAAAATATTTTAATATTTAATAATTTAATATTTAAAAGGCCCTTTCTCAATATTTTGTATAAAAAATTTTATTGGTCAACATAAACAAATTTATCATACCTGTGAAAATAATTAAATATTATTATTTTATATATACCCCAAAAATTACAGACAAGAATCTAAAAAATTTTAAAAAATTAAAAAAAATTTATTTAATCCTTTTTTCTAATTTTGAGGTTATTTTCTCATTAAAAACAGTTTAGTTAAGTTATAATTTTATTACTTTATGAGCTAAATTACATTATTTAAAAAATTGAAGGGCAACGTTGCATTAAAAAAATGAATTTAAATTTCCAAAGCACACTTGAATTTATAGTTTACAAGTCAATTTTATCTTTTTTCAAAATCAATATATTGTGTTTCATAAAGTTCCTCTTTAATTAAGCAAAAAACTTGCATGCCCACAAAGAGCAGCTTCCCTTGGAATGACTTCAAACGGAGGCTTGCAAAATGAATCCAAATTGTTTTACTTAGTTTCTAAGTGTGATTATGTTTTTTATGTCTTGTTGCGCACATGTTTATGATTAATTAGGAGTCCGTTTAGTATATGGAATAACATTAGCGGCCCAAAAAATTGTACTAGAATAAAATTTAAAAAATCTTTATGATGAAAGAAAATACCTTCCCTACACATACCTACGTTAAAAAAAATGCAAAGATTATTAGTTGATGATTACAATTTACAATGACAAGACGGTTAAAAGAAATAAACAAGGCTAAAGTTTGCTTTTTGTATTCAGGAAATCCAAATTCTCAGGGACTGGAACATCTAAACATTGCAGAGAAGGATTACGAGTTTGAAGAGCCATGAAAAGAACAAACAAGCAACAATGTGTTGCTGAATTTGTTGAAGAGAAAACAATGGAAGAGTGAAAGTCGAAGAATGTATAACCCTACAAGAAGCTCAACAAATAGAAAATAAAATGGAAAAAACCAACACATCTTATTAAACTATCATAATTTATGAAAATAATAAATCCTAACGGTACAGTTTGTTACAAGTTAGATGTAAAAATGACAATAAAAGAAAATATCAATTTCATGAATGAATATATAATAATTAAAAGACAAGGACAACATGATTATAAGATCCAAATAATTCAAGTTAGTGCATTCATTCTTATAGTTTTACATATCAAATGATTCATTTAGTTCTAATGTGCCATGGCCAGTGCATTTTATTAATTAACTTCCTTTTTTATAGTAAAAAAATTTAATTTGACTTGACTTGAAACTTTTTTTGTATAAGGTTGTTTCAATTTTCAATGAAATTACATATATTTAAATTAAGCATATCAACTTCTCATGCAACAGGGGGATTTTAATCTAGTTTTAATGGAAAATTAGAGAAGAAAAGAGAGAAAGAAAGAACAATTTCATGAAATAAAAAGAACAAATGTTTCAAAATCGCCCATCCGTTACTAGTTGAATGAAAAAATCAATTAAAAAATGCTTGTGAATAACCAAAAAAAAAAAAAAACATTTTGGTGCAACTGTACTGATGTTAAGATGAGCTTTTCTGCGCGTGCTCTTTGGTCCTTGCCTTAAGCTGGATGGTGGGCTATGATCTGATTAATTTGATGTTACCATGGTTTTCTTTGGTTTTGTAGATTTTTCAGATGACAGAAAGTACATTTGTGGTCATTCCCGCAGATCATATTTAGTGGTACTTCACTTTTTCATATATCACTGAAATTTTAATCATTAAATTCGAGACTGAGATTTTTATAATAGGATCACTGAAAAATAACCAACCTAACATTCAATATAATTCACCAAACCCCATATTTGAGCATTGAACTTTTTTCTATGACTCATCTATATAATAATTATCCATTTCAATTTGCACTCCCAATCATTACTCCCCCGAACAGTTTGCCATGGAAGAACCTCAAGAATTGCAGCTCTCCATAAGAGGTATGTCCACATACTCATTTTTCACAGACAGATATTATCATCTCTCTCCCCCTCCCCCTCCTGTTCTCAGATCACAAATCGCCCTGCAGAAATTTGCTGCTTATATATAGATGATCACACGTGTGGGTACTTATATACAGCTTAGAGATACTTCAAGGACGCAAAGATATATACATATAGATACTTAATAAGTTTCATCGTGTCCATGTTGGTGTTCAAAGCTTTTTTTACTTCTATTCATTGAAAATGCAAAGGTTACATGAAATTAAATTTGCATCAGACAGAAAATACAAGAGAAGTAGTTGACTCAAGCCAAACCCGTATTCTCATATACCCAGACACATAAAAAAACACAGGTGATAGGTTGCAATAAATAGAAAATAACATGCTCAAGGTAGTAGTTCTGGCTTTTGAGTGGCCAGATCTCTCCTAAACTATACTTTCAAAAGACATAAACAGACTCATCTTCCTCTGGTTCTCTTTATAAAAGCCTACTTATTCATTCTTAATACAATAACTCACACAAATTTTTTGAAATATTTGCGACTTATTTCAACAAATGTCCCTGTCTTTTTCTATAATATACCAATTAAAAGTAATTTCAAAAGTAGCAGTATTTTGTCCTTCTATCCCTCTTTTCTTCGTTGATTTCTTATTATTAGTATTCGCAAATCATAGTATATGACCACGCATGAATGGTAAGAGGTTCATTTCCGTACTTATACCATACATGTATATGTTGCTAGAAGACTGGTCATTTCAATTGTTTTTTTCAGAATCAGAAGGAGCCAAAGAAAAGAATCCAAATGATGGTACAGAAGCTAATTCAGACCAGAAAACAAATCCAATTATAGATATCAATGATTGCCCAGATCAACCAAGCACTACAATCAAAGACCAAAAGAGATATCGTTGGATAAAAATAGCCTTGTGTTCTATCTCTGTTTTGCTGGGCCAATCAGCTGCAACAATGCTGGGAAGATTGTACTACCAACAAGGTGGACACAACAAATGGTTAGGAACACTTGTCACGCTTGTGGGTTTCCCTATTCTCATCCCGTTTTATTGTATTCCTGCATCCAAATGCCCCTCTGCAACGACTAGCATTCATGTCAATCATGAACCATCTGTTTCAATGTCAGCGTTTGTTTATGTCTCTCTTGGCCTTCTTCTTGCATTAGACTGCTACTTATTCTCTTTTGGTCTCTCTTACCTTCCTGTTTCTACATTTTCTCTTATTTGCTCCTCAGAATTAGCCTTCAACGCCTTCTTCTCCTTCTTCCTTAACTCCCTCAAACTCACACCTTACATCATAAACTCCCTAGTCCTTTTGACTATCTCCTCTATCCTCCTTGTGTTTCGAAATGATTCTGCTTCAGAATCCATGCAAGTTTCAAAAAAGAAGTATGCAATTGGTTTCATATGCACAGTTGCAGCCTCAGCTGGGTATGGACTCATGCTTTCTCTGACACAGCTTGCTTTCAGGAAAGTCTTCAAAAAGACAAGTTTCAAAGTGATTTTGGACATGATAATGTACCAATCACTTGTGGCAACTTTGGCAATAGTAGTGGGGCTGTTTGCTAGTGGGGAGTACAGAGGTTTGAAGGCAGAAATGGAGGAGTATAAGATGGGGGAAAAAAGCTATGTGCTGAATTTGAGCTTTGCTGCTATAGCATGGCAAGTTTTTAATGTGGGAACTGTGGGCTTGATTCTGGAAGTGTCGTCTGTGTTCTCTAATGTGATAAATGTTTTGGGATTGCCGATTGTGCCTATTTTGGCTGCGGTGTTCTTCCATGACAAGATGAATGCGTTGAAGGTGATCTCTCTGGTGCTTGCTCTTTGGGGCTTTTTATCATACATTTACCAGCAGTACTTAGATGAGACCAGTTCCAATATTGAGCGCAGAAACAGCGTTGATCTTCCAGGCGATTCAGAAGAGATTAACGGATTATCTGGGCAAGTCGAAACAGTTCAGTGAAGCACTCTGAGACCAAGAAATTCGTTGTAATATCCATATGTAAATCGAAGTTGGATCTAATAATTGAATTCCTATGTCGTTGGGTTAATGTGAGTAAATCAAGTCATCTAAAAACCGTGTCAATAGAAAGTTAAAAAATTGTCATTGTGATGCTCACGTAGCTAAGAGATGTCAGAATTTTTAAGCAAGGATGGTGGACTTATAAACGAGAAATGACACTAAAGTCATGCAAAAGAATTGATGCTGGTTAGGCATGATAAATTTTTTTGAAAAATAAATTGTAAATATTAATAGTATAAATAAAAAAAATTTCTCTCATTGCCTTATAAATAAAACTAAAAGAAATAATTGCTATTGATAATAAGAATATAAATTATAAATTGACAGTTACACTTAAAATTAAAATATCTCATTTGTGATTAAAACTTCTGAATTTTTATATTTTTGAATTAATATTTATAACTTATTTTTTTAAAAAAAATTTATGAAGAATTTAGTTATCATTAATTTCCTCATTTAAAACTTAACCGTTATTGTTATTTTATGAACTAAAAATAAGTAAATTGCTACCTCCTTATTGTATAAGAAGTTTATTTTAATCTATCAAAAAAATGTTTATTTTAATAACTTGATGTTGCATAATATAAAATGTTTTGAAGAAAAATAATCATTTACTAATAAAATTTATTTTAAAATTACCCCCATGTTATTTTACTTTGTTTCTTAAATATTTTTCTTTTCCTTATCAACTTCTATCAACATTTTATGTTATCTTTACAAAATGCCGCTCATAAATAATCATTCGGCTTCCCCATTTTTCAATAAGAGTAATAATCATTGCATATGCCCATCTACATCTTTTTTGGAGATGTACTGATTATTTAATATTTATTAAAGCAAATTTATTTTTGTATTTTTAATATGGGAGAATAACAAAACAAATCGTTTTAAAATATTTAAATAATAATTAAATATTGCGAGATGTGATAATCTTTTATAATTTTTTTAAAATTTGTCTGTCTTTTTTTTGTGAAAAGACAATTTTTGCTCTTTTAGAAAATTTTTAAAAAAAATCCCAAAACTCAAATCTCTCCTTCCCGTTCTGGCTGGTGAATTACGCCGTGTTTCACAAAAGATTAGCAACCGAAGTCTGATCTTCAGATTTTTACAAGAAACCAGTGGTTCGCGTTTTGACATGTAAATAACAAATAGCTCCTTCTTTCTCTCCCAAAAATCTCATTCTCAACCAAATTTCAATTCAATTTAAAAAAATAAAAAATAATTTTAATTATAAAAAAGTCAAAATATCGTTTACTTATTGTATAAAATTATTAATTATTAATTAAATTAAAGGGTAAATATATTCAAAAAGTTTTTCTCCATGGACACCCAATATTATTAAATGAAGGAGGGTGCAAGAAGTACTCTTAACATTTATTTAACAAGTGCAACTGTGCCGAAGCCGTTTAAGAAGCTCAACGTTGACTGTGAAATAAACACGTAAGCAAATGGCTAAATTATTTTGCTGATGTGGATTCTGACCAGGTTATATTGCGTCACTTTCTCCTTGCCAAAATCCCCTTCCTCATCCGGAGTCGGTTTCGGTGCTCATCTTAATTGCTCAGCACCAAAATACTGCTGTTTGGTAATGTTTTTTTTTCTTTTATTTTTTTAAATCACAAATTATTATAATAATAAATAATTATTATAAAATTATTATTTTAATATTTAATAAAATAATAAATATTAAGATGTTAAAATTAAATATGAACAGATTAACTCATTAAAATATGATTTAAATAGTTCATATATAAATTTTGATCTGAATGATTCAAAACTTTGTTGAAAATATTAAAATTATAAATAAAAATATTTTTTGTTTATTAATTTTGCATAGTTATTTATCTATGAGAGATAATATCATTTAAGGCATAGTCAGATATTAAATATAGGCACTTCTCTTAATAGGAATTCAAACATTAATTTATTACAATATAAGAAACTGACTCATTTTATTAGATTTAACTCTCATTTTAAATTATATAAAAATTAATTTTTTATTTTTTCAATACAGTTCTCAAGACTCAGACCAAAATTTTTATTTAAACTATTCAGGTTTAATTTTAACATCTTAATATTTATTAGCTTATTAATATTAAAATAATAATTTTATAATAATTATTTATTATTATAATAATTTGTGGTTTAAAAAAAGTTAAAAAAAAAAATACTGCCAAACGACGGTGTTTTGGTGCTGAGCACCACGGTTTAGAATGAGAACCGAAACCGAGTCCTTTCTCATCCTTCTCTCAGTTTCTCTCTTGGTTATCGATGACAACTCTCCCTCGGCTAAACAAGTTCGTCGGCAACCCTTCCTCTCCCTCAGCAAATCGTTAGTTCCACAAAACAATATATCCAGAATTTACATTCAAAAATAATAAATCCAGGATTAGTCAACTTAGTTCTGCTACACTTTCTTCAAATTAACCCCGTATTAAAGCCAAAAATTTCAAGTTTCCCCCAATTACTTTTTCCCCTATATAGAAGTTATGATTTTCCCCCCTTTCATGGTAGCTATATGTTTTGAAACTAGAGCTGATTAGCCAACTTGATTATATTGACTCTTTTTAGGCATTTCTTCACAAACGAGAGGCTTGTGATTTCGAAGTTATCATTGCAGAATTTTGGAGAAGGAAAGGAGGAAATTTCCCCAAATGGGGTTGTTACCATTGAATCCGAGCCCAGAAAGCGAGCATGGCTTTTGTGCCATCTCTCTCTCTCTCCAACTCCTTCTTACCTTCTCTTTGTCATGACTCGAACTCATTGTGCGACAAAGAGATGTTCTTGGTTTGAGAACGGGTGTATCAGAAAATTTCACACCGAGGCTTCCGTCATCATCTGTATTGGAAGTATCGGATATTTTTGGGAGGGAGAAAGAAAAAGATGTCATGAAGTTGATGTTTGATTATAACGATGATAAATTGTCTGTGATCCCCATCGTTGGCATGGGTGGGGTGGGGGAAAACCACTTTAGTCCAACTAGTTTACAATGATGATTTTGTTAGGCAAAACTTTGACATCAAAGTATGGGCTTGTGTTTCTGAAACATTTGATCTTCTAAAGATAATACAAATAAAGTTAGTAAACAGGCAGGCCTAGTTTATATGGGCTCGGTCCTTATAGGCTCGGTCCTTATGGGCCTAAGCTCTAAAGCTCGATTACCCCAATTTAATCCTAAAATTGAAGCCCGGCCCTTATTCATAAGGCTCAAGGCCGGGCCCATAAGCCCGAATAAAAATAAAATAAAATAAAATAAAATTCAACATTTAAATTTATTTAGAATATTTTAAAATTTAACATATATCAAACTAAAGTCTCACATAATCTAAAAAATGAATAAAAAATTTAAAAATCCAAATAAGATGAAGGCAAACATCATCATCAATCCTAATCAAGATCTCCCTCATTATCATTCATAAATAAAATATTAAACCCTCAGATGTAGGTCCATTTGTGAAAGATGGAGGCGGAGGCTCAATATTAATTATTTTTGCAGCTTCTTCATCATCACCTACAATAATTATTAATTAAATTATTTTATTATCAAAATATATCTATACATATATCACAAGATAAAATATAAAAATTACTATAAAATGGCACAAAACAATTCAACTAATTGTTGGTACAAAATACAAATCAATGTTTGCACATTATCTGGAAAGAGGTGAAAACAATACTTTGTGAATAGTAAAACGGGTTTCACGGGCCGCCCGGGCCCGAGCCCGTTTTTCTAGGGCTTAAAAAGGCCGGGCTTCGAAACCCGGTTATCCTAAAAAATGTCAAATTTTTAAACTCAAACCCTTATTAAAACGGGTTTAAACGGGCGGTCCGTCAAGTCCGACCCTTATTTTCGACTCTAAACACAAAACTATAATCCAAGCTATCAGTCATCACTTTGTCACCAATGACCTTAATCTCCTTCAGCATCACTTGAAAGAGAAGTTAGCGGGAAAGAAATTTTTAATTGTTCTAGATGATGTCTGGGATGAAGATTATAATGATTGGGATACTTTAATGAATCCATTTCACAATGGCATTAGAGGAAGTAAGATTTTTGTTACAACTCGCAGTGAAATGATTGGGTCAATGGTTAAAACTATCCCATCTTTCTATCCTCTAAATATCTTGTCAGATGGAGATTGTTTGTCTTTATTTAATAGACATGCATTTTATTCTAGAGACTCTACTGTAAATTCATACTTAGAAGTTTGGTAGTGTTATTGCTAGCAAGTGCAAGGGATTGCCTTTAGCTGCAAAAAGCACTAGGGGTAGGTCCAGTCCTGATATTAAACATTGGGATACTATATTAAAAGATGATCTTTGGGACTCTATTGAAAATAAGATTCTTCCCGCCTTAAGAGTCAGTTATCATTACCTACCCCTACATCTAAAACAATGTTTCCTTTATTGTTCTTTATTCCCACAAGATTACAAATTCTGCAAGGAAGATTTGATCTTGATGTGGATGGCAGAAGGGTTTTTACAACTCTTGAGGAGAGGAATGACTTTAGAAGAGGCTGGCTCCGAGTACTTTGATGATCTAACTTCTAGATCATTCTTCCAGCTCTCTACTGAAAATGATGGGTTCTTTGTCATGCATGATCTCAATCATGACTTGGCGACTTATATTGCTGGAGATTTTAATTTTAGAGTGGAGAAGCAAGAAAACAAAATTGGCACTAGGACATGCCATTTATCTTGGAACTTTATGACTGGTCCAAGTTTAGAGCACTTCAAATCTTTGAATGGAGCAAAAGCCCTTCGAACATTTATTGCATTGCAAACAAATTAGCGTGGTAGCTTTAATAAAGCTTTTTTATCATCAAATTTTAAATACGTGAGAACATTGTCACTTTTTAGATGTAGTGTATTGGAGGTACCCAATTCAATTGGTGAACTCATTCACTTGCGTTATTTGAATTTGTTTGGGACAATGATTGAAAGCTTGACTAATTCATTGTGCAAGTTGTCCAATCTACAAACTTTGAAGTTGTGTGTATGCCACCGTCCCGAAAGGCTCCCAAATGATTTGCAA